GCGCTCTTAATTTGAGTTATCAAAATATCGAATGCTGGAAATTTTAGTGAGATAACTTTAAAATTCTTTGTCTTTCAGAAATTTCTATGAGTCATAACGGTTACAGGTTTAAGTAAAATATATCGAAAGAAACACAGCGCAAATAGTAGTTTCTGTAAATGGTCAAACTGTTTACCTTGCGCCTCTAAAGAGCACTTGATAACCGCACACTAGAGAAATCGTATCGAACCTTAAAAGTGTTTTAACCAAAGCATTGCTTTTCAGGAAGTAATTTCATTAGCTATCTTAAAGTCTGAAATCTGCTGCATATGCGGCAACTTGTGTTCCACAAACGATTATGGTGCAAAAAGCATTGAAAAAACAAAAGTAGAAAATTTAGTGTTCGATAGAGTGAAAAAAAGCGAAATGTTTCCGCCCAGGATTGAACTGGGGACCTTGCGCGTGTTAGGCGCACGTGATAACCGCTACACTACAGAAACTGCCTCGTCCCTAATCGCTTCAATGATGTAAAATTGATATATACATCAAATAAGCCAAAAATTAAAAAAAGCCTGTGGACGAGGCAGCTACGGAAAACCGCAATGAACATTCAGCAGAACAAGAATGGCAAATTGTGTCTTTAAAAGCGTGCAGCGAATTGTTTTCGCCCAGGATTGAACTAGGGGCCTTGCGCGTGTAAAGCAAACGTGATAACCACTACACTACGAAAACTTTCCCGCGGTTGGAAAAGAATATTTCCGGGCGTTCTTAATTTGAATTATCAAAATATCGAATGCTGGAAATTTTAGTAAGATAACTTTAAAATTATTTATGTTTCAGAAATTTCTGCGAGTCATAACGGTTACAGGTTTAAATAAAATATATCGAAAGAAACACAGCGCAAATAGTTGTTTCTGTACATGGTCAAACTGTTTACCTTGCGCCTCTTAAGAGCACTTGATAACCGCTACAGTAGAGAAATCGTATCGCACCTTAAAAGTGTTTAAACCAAAGCAATGCTGGAATCCGGTATATTTGTTATCGGTTTATTTTTCAGGAAGTAATTTCATTAGCTATCTTCAAGTCTGAAAAATTCTGCATATATGCGGCAACTTGTGTTCCACAAACGATTATCGTGTAAAAAGCATTTAAAAGAACAAAATTAGCAAATTTAGTGTTTAATAGAGTGTAAGAAAGCAAAATGTTTCCGCCCAGGATTAAACTGGGGACTTTGCGCGTATTAAGGCCGATCTACACGATGCGATTAGTCGTATACGATTCTTATCCTGACGTATGAAAAAGATTGGTAACGTCTCTTTGTCTGTTCATCAGTTTATAACGAAATTTAAAATGGGAAACCTTTACACGCATTTATTCGAATACATACGCCAGCATACGAATCGTATGCGACTAATCGCATCGTGTAGATCGGCCTTTAGGTACACGTCATAGCCGCTACACTACGGAAACTGCCTCGTCCCCCATCGCTTCAATTATGTAAAACAGATATACATGAAATAAGCCAAAAATTAAAAAAAGCCTGAGGACGAGGCATTTACGGAAAACCGCAAAGAACATTCAGCAGAACAAGAATGGAAAATTGAGTCTTTAAAAGCGGGGGAAACAAAGCGAAATGTTTCCGCCCAGGATTGAACTGGGGACGTTGCGAACGTTAGGCGCACGTGATAACCGCTACACTACGGAAACACGCAAAGCACATTCAGCAGAACAAAAATGGGAAAATTGTGTCTTTAAAACAGGGAAAGAAAGCGAATTGTTTTCGCCCAGGATTGAACTGGGGACCTTACACGTGTGAAGCGCATGTAATAACCACTACACTACGAAAACTTTCCCGCGGTTGGAAAAGAATATTTCCGGGCCCTCTTAATTTGAATTGGCAAGATATCGAATGCTGGAAATTTTAGTAAGACAACTCCAAAATTCTTTATGTTTCAGAAATTTCTACGAGTCAGAACGGTTACAGGTTTAAATAAAATATATCGAAAGAAACACAGCGGAATTAGTTTTTTCTGTAAATGGTGAAACTGTTTACCTTGTGCCTCCAAAGAGCACTTGATAACCGCTACACTAGAGAAATCGTATCGCACCTTAAAAGTGTTTAAACCAAAGGATTGCTGGAATCCGGTATATTTGTTACCAGTTTATCTTTCAGGAAGTAATTTCATTAGCTATTTTAAAGTCTGAAATCTGCTGCATATGCGGCAACTTGTATTCCACAAACGATTATAGTGCAAAAAGCATTGAAAAAAACAAAAGTAGAAAATTTAGTGTTTGATAGAGTGAAAGAAAGCGAAATGTTTCCGCCCAGGATTGAACTGGGGACCTTGCGCGTGTTAGGCGCACGTGATAACCGCTACACTACGGAAACTGCCTCGTCCCTAATCGCTTCAATGATGTAAAACCGATATATACATGAAATAAGCCAAAATTAAAAAAGCCTGTGGACGAGGCAGCTACGGAAAACCGCAAAGAACATTCGGCAGAACAAGAATGGCAAAATTGTGTCTTTAAAAGCGGGGGAAACAAAGCGAAATGTTTCCGCCCAGGATTAAACTGGGGACGTTGCGCACGTTAGGTGCACGTGATAACCGCTACACTACGGAAACACGCAAACCACATTCAGCAGAAAAAAAATGACAAAATTGTGTCTTTAAAACAGGGAAAGAAAGCGAATTGATTTCGCCCTGGATTGAACTGGGGACCTTGCACGTGTGAAGCGCATGTGATAACCACTACACTACGAAAACTTTCCTGCGGTTGGAAAAGAATATTTCCCGTCTTAATTTAAATTGGCGAGATATCGAATGCTGGAAATTTCAGTAAGATAACTTTAAAATTCTAAAATTAAAATTCCTAAAGTAATTGAAATAAATGTACCCAAGTTTCCACCTCATACAACCCGTTTCGTACAACAACAGCTACGAACTAAACAAAATCAAACCAACCAGCTGAAAAGATCAGTTAAAGTAAGCCCACAATGCATGATCGGGATTTTTGTTGGAGACGGAAACGGGACTCAAGTTGGCAAGATTACCTGACATTTTTCCGTGCGACATTACGAGACTAAATAATGGTATTAATCATCATATCCCGGTTCGGGTAACCTCACGAAAGTCCCACTGTTCTATATCACGTTACTCCCCTATGGTTAATAATAAAAGATTTAGAAATCCTTCTAATTTAATAAATATTAAACCAGCAACTCCAGCTTATACGAGGTCGCAACTACCGAATTTTTGTCTGCTGATGTGCGATCCCTTCTCCCAAAGGTGGATGAACTTGACTTATTGTTACAACATAATGTCGCTGATTTTGTAGCTATTTCTGAAACATGGCTACATGACGGTATTGATAATAATCTCCTACAAATTCCAAAGAATAACCTTTTTCGAGGTGATAGACTATGCGGCATGTTCGTTCTTGTAATTCCAGTGGTAAGTGTAATCCTAAGTTTATAGCACTTCTAGCGATGACAAATACTCGAATAGTGAAAGCAAAAGACCAGGACACAGCGAGAAATAAGTCGTCTGGATATCTTCATTGTTATCATTGGCCAGAAAAAGGGAGGGAGCAGGGGTACCGTATCCAAATTCAATAAGATGAGGGAAATTAACCATTGTAGTAATTCATTTTGTTATTCCATAATTGTTTTTTGCTCAAAAATTATACTTGATGAACTAAAATTTCACGAACCTTTTAGAGCATCACAAAGTTAGTAAAACCCTTTGCGAAACGTTTTAAATTGTTAAAGGTATAGACATAGGAATTCAAAAAATTTACATACTTTTTTATTATTGGTCCAAAATTAATACCTTTCAGTTTCTCAAAAACAGTACCATGCAATGTTGCCTGCGGCGTACTTTTAACCCACGCCTAATTCTATTTAGCTTACAACATTTCTCAACGAAACATCAAAACCATATTTATTAATTTTGTGACGCTATTTCTACCTATAATCCTATATATGACAAAATTATTTGTAAGATTTGCCTAGATCATAATATGATTCGATACACATTGGGTCTATCCACGCGATTAACAAGTTTTGTATTCAATGCTTAGAAAAAGAAGAAATAGCTGAGAGAAATGGCAATAAAAGAGGTAAACTGCAAAGATCATTATCACTTTCGAAAATATCTTTATTAATGTTTAATTATATTATCAAGACGTTTGAATTGGAGACAAAACAATCAATCCTTCACAAGTTCGTAGTTTAGTTCGCATTGCGTACTTTTCAAGTTGTTTCCTTTCTGAAGATAACTTCTGATTACTAGTCGCATGCGATATATCATTTTATATAGACGTTTTGATAGACGCTATACGCTTTCAGCCAGGTTCCTGGGCTATCTGGCTATAGGCGTGAGCCTGGGAGACGGTAGTATAATTGAAAAAGTATTTTGTGTAAATTCTTCTTTCGTCTTCGTGTTACATAAAACATATAAAATACAAAAAATATTCCACAATAGAATACAAAAAATATCAGTATGCGACAATTTTTACAGAGACGAGAACCAACATGATGTCAAAAGCCATGCAGACAAATTTTGGCCTCGAAGGACTTTAACTATAGTTTATTCGGTTTTGCATTGCGGGACTCCATGCTTTAGAAATTTCCCAAATTTCGTATGTTTTGCATTTCTTTGGGCATAAACTATAGCTTATTCATTTAAAAATATAGTAAACGAAAATAGTAATAAATATTATAGTCTCATTGGGACGTGTTTGTTTAATGCGTTATTAAAATGGTTTAATTAGTTTTCTGTCAATTTTGTCTCTTTTGAAAATGTAAAAACAAAGCGGTCGATGTGAGATGGCAGCTAGGTCCAAGTATAAATTTGGATGGTGTTTATCGTTGCTGTGAGTTGTAATATTTGTCAGTGGGACATTCTTGGATTATTCTTGACATTCTTGGAACATTCGTGGAATTAATCAACAACAATCATATTTGGCATTATACTTTATAGACTGGCACTGAACAGTTTTATTCTATTTTGTTCTAGACTGTAAAAAAGATATCCCTGTTCTCTGGGATATTTCGAATTATGTTAACTCTGCGTACATCGATGTTGTGAAAGAATTTCTGAAGAAATTTATCAAAAGTGAAAAGCTGCGAGTGGAAGAACAAGGCACTCATCTTGGTTTCGCTTCCTTCTCAAGCGACAACAGAACTAGAGAATTATTGGAGGTTGGTGAAATTAAGAACAAAACATTGTTGATGCAGTGGCTGGATAGAAATGACTTTGAAAATAATCCGAGCGTCAATACGGCGTTCAAAAGTATGGCGAAAAATGTAAGTAGGCCTAAAATGTTTTACCAAGGTAACATTTACACAAGCGTGTTTTCAATCTTTGCTCATATTCGATCGTGTTATTGAGAAAAGTTGTTAAACCGTGATAATACAAAGGACTCCACAATTACCAGGTGAGGTCGGCACGTGAAGACTGTAAAGCGTAAACAACCCAGATAAACCAACCCAGTCTATGATAATATAAACGGGAAATAATTTGGTTATTTTCATTTGTAATTTACGTATCATTCTGCAGGTGATCTGAGAATGAAAATTAACAAATCATAAGCCAGGACCTCAAAGAAAATCAGTTACCATTTCACATGATAGCCAGGGTTTCCAAAATGCAAGGGAATTTCCTTGCAATTGAAAACCACAAAGGAGGAAGGGATCTGTGTTAATACGATATAAAAATAAATTCATGCAGCACCCCTCTCCATTTTAAAGTTTTAACCAAGAAAATAATCTACTCAGACCTAGATTAGCTATAACTTATTGGACCAGGAACTGGTCCCTAACCGCTGCTAATCTTGCTGTTGTTGTTGTTGTTAGGGGGCGACGCTCTTTAAAAAAACCCTAAGGCTCTATCATTACTTGTTTGATCGGAATGAAACTTGGCACAATTATTCTAAGCAATATTCCGCATCGATTGACGGAGTTCGAATTTTTACTTTTGACTTTTGAAGCAAGTTACAAGCAATTCTTGATTATATGTGCAGCAAATAATATATACATATCATTAATATTCAGCCTATATATAATTAATATTCAGCCTGTACAGGGTGTCCCAAAAAAAACGAAAACTATTGAAATCACCCATAACAATGCAATTGTTAGAATGCCTAAGCACTCTGTTGGGACCCACAGGTGTATAAATGTTTGCCATACTCATTTTTATGCAGTATATTATATGCAGTAAAATTTGCTTGTTCGCAAAAATGATATTTATTAACAATATTTACAATTTACAAACATAGATAACATTATTTAAATGTGCATCTCAAGGACCATGACCTTCGACATGTCCCCTTTCTCTAGCAACACAAAGCATTTAGCATTTTATAAGTCGCATTTAATCCCCACGAGCTAAAATTCGTGAACACGGCATTCAAGTTTTAACAATGAGTGATTTCAATAGTTTTCGTTTTTTTGGGACACCCTGTATATAAGAATACGCAAACGATTAGAAATACATTGTCCTCTCTATCGTTGTAAATACAATGCAGTTCAGAAACTCGGTCACGCAGTTCCTGGTCCACTATAGTACGACCGTACTTGTTGAATGAGTCAATGGCAGAGCGTTGATAGACAACATCTTTATCACAAAGTTACAGACTCCCCGTAAAATCAATCATTTTTTTCCAATTTTGTGCTCTCAAAAGGATGAAAAACGCGAAAATCTGAGGGTTCGGGAACGTCACTCCCGGTCAAAAACAATGAAAAATATTAGGCCGCGCGAGTTAGGAGACTGAAACTGACGTACTATCTCGCTTCAATTTCCGCCATCTTTTGCTTCACTTTTTGCACCAAAAATTCTTACTCCAGATATATAATAATAATAATAATAATAATAATATAATAATAATTTAAATCTTATATAGCGCTTCTTCTATAAATATCCAGGAGCGCTTTACATTCAAGGGGTAAAAATTACAATTTATGATTATTTACAAAACTTAGATGAAATCTTTATGTGAAGCTCACTAAGGAAAACTCACTTTTGCATTGACGTCACTGATTGATGTCCTATGACCTTATCATTTCAGAGCAGCTAACTGAGAGTATAGACTGAACAGCCCTAACTGTGAGAAACGTCCAATTCCAGGTGCCCATTGGCACAAATATACAAATTATTTACTGAACTACTACATATTTTTCAACAATCAAACGAGTATACAAGTTTAATATTCAATTTTTTCATAGCTGTTTAACGATACAAGTCCTAAAAATTTCCGTCCGGACGTAAAAGACGTTATTTTGTTGTTAACCAGCAGCGGACATGAATCTTCAGAAAATCAAACGAAGCTTGTCGATGAATATACCACAATACTTAGCAAGAAGAATTTCACTATTGTCCGCTTGGCTGTCGGGAATGAGTTCAAAAAGTTGAAACTGTATATTAATGGCTGGTCGTCACCAGAGCGAATATTCGAATTAAAGTTGGACGAGTTGAACAAAGTTGTGAATGAAACAGTTGATGCTTCCTGCACTTTGCATGGTAAGTGTATGTGTGTCAAAAGGTATAATTTTGAAGCTTATAAGACTCGTTAATTCAAGCAATCTAAAAAATAAACAATTCCCTTCCGTTTCCCAAAAAATTTTGCTCCTAATGCTGTGCAAATTTAGAGTAATCACCAATTCTTCTTTTTAATTCAAAGGCGGATGTGAATGCAGAGATGGCGTTAACTATGAGTTTACTGCATATGCTAAACCTAATGAAATCAAAGGGCTGGTTCATTGGTCGGTACCAGAAGTCACGTGCTCTGACTATGAGAGAGGCCAAGTTCATCCACCTGACGTCAGGTCTCCTGCAAATTTCTCCCTTGGCAAGCATGTGATTACCTATCCCTACTCGTACAAACGCAATAACAAGACTATAGAGTTCAAATGTTTTGTTAACTTCACTGTTATCGGTAAGTAATTGTTGCCCTCGGTCAGCAAATTCGCAATAGAGCCGCTCTTGAACGAAAAAATTTCTTTAATCACTCACAAGCCTTATGGAGATTAATCCGCTATCGACCACGCAATTTTCGTACAGTTTAATCGCTCTATTAATCCCCAAAACTTGATGTAAAATTACATAACGTAAGGACAAACATTAACCCTGGTCCCGCTGCTTAGTTACGAATTTGGAAGGTTAGGTGCAAGCTGTAGTCCAAGGTGGTCCGGGAACTATGCAAGGCTGGAGGTGGCCTGGGAACTAGCAATGGTACTTGGATTAAGGGAAGTTCCATGCCAATGGTATCTTGAACAGCCAACCAAGAGATGTTGCAAGCATCACGCATCAAAGTACCGAGCTAGCGAAGTGCTGGCAATGGACGCCGCCCCTAGGATGACTCTCATAGCTTGACCAGGATAACGCGCTGACGTTGGATACGACCGACAAACCTTTCTTTCCGCGGAAACGCAAGATAGATTTGCTCAGATAATTCGCTGTCGTTGGATACGAACCACAAACCCTACTATTCACGAAAACGCAAGATAGATTTGCTAAAATAATGCGCTGTCGTTGGTACGAACCACAAACCGTATTATCCGTGGAAACGGACGATAGATTTGCAATACCCGTTTCAACTCAATTGTCTCAAAATTGCTTATTAATCCAATGCAAAGCGCCATTATATCTAAAGCACCTCTTGCCGAATTCTTTTCTCGGCATTGGTAGTGCTAAATCGGTATTCCTACTTCTGAGATTATATGTAATAATTTTTTCATTATTGCATCGAAATCATTCACTTAGATTGAGAGCGGTGTGGCCGTTCAGAACTTTAATGAAAATCAATGGATTGTTTCTTCTTTCATCCAGAGATTTCCAATTTAGGTTCTCGAGTAATTCAAAAGACCGAGTATCGTAAGTTGCCCCAATAAACCCTTGCCGCATGATTTTGGTATTTTTGCAACTTATTTTTAAGACCACTCGCGCAATTATCCCATAGAGGACTGCAATAATCGAAATATCCATGGCAGTATTATACAATTATATAACGTTTTGCTAGTCGACAGTGGTACAAAAGGTTTAAGAGGAGATATTTTTCTATGTCGCGTAATATATGCTCAAAAGTCAAAACCTCCGTTATATCTTCATGTAACACTAAAATTTTTAGCATTAAAAATGTTTTGCAAACCTGAAAAGCATCCACAAAGTATGTTTACTGTATAATCTCAAAATATTGTGAAAATGAAAAGATTTCTCGGGATACACCGAGAAGAAAGTGACACTTGAATCGAAGCTTCTTCTGTATTCATTTCAGTTATAATTAATGGCGTTGACATTATAACATTGTTCATAGCCGCCGCATTATATTTTGTAATAACTCCTTTGTTTGGTGTTTTGCATTCACCAAATACAGTTCAAAATTTAGTTCACAACATAATCTAAAGAATAATGGTAAAATAAATGGATTTTGACTGGTACGCCGAAAAGATTTTAGGTTTTGAGCGTTTTCTCGCCAAAATACGCGACATTATAAAAAATCTCCTCTTATTAATCCGTCTGATTGCACCAATGCCGGCACTAACCTTGGAACAAATAGATTTGATATGTTTATTCCAAGGGCCGGTTGTTCAAAAGCCGGTTAACGCTAACCCAGGATTAAAAGTGCTTAACCCAGGGTTAAATTTTAAACCTCGGTTGATTTGCGTTGCACAAAGCTCGATTAGCGATAACCCTGGGTTAAAATTGATAAAAAAAATTAACCCTGCTATCTAGGTGGTTTAACTTTTTAATCCTGGGTTAACTTCAATTCAAAATGGATGAATAAGGAGCTGAAACACGTAAACACGTATAATTCGTCATGAATTAAACACTTTGGAAAGGTTTTAGGAATTATTTCGACAGCAAATAATTATTTAAGTTAATTCGTTCGGTTTGAGCTAATGTATTGATTTGTTTATCTTTGCTTCAATGCAAAATACACGATAAATGAATACAACCGTACAAATTGAAACATGGTAATCGAAATATTTGTTTGGGATGCCAAAATTCGATTCTTTTGATTGGCAGCAAGTGGTAAGGCTACGTTTGTTCCTGAATTTTGAATAATCAAAGAATGCCTGAAATTTTAAAATAGATTGTTTATAATTTGCTTAATTTTATTTCACATCGACATTGTTTATCAAACAAAATGGCCTTTCATTAACAATCTTTCCAAAATTCTTTGCACAGAAATTGCTGTTCAAAACAACGTCCCTGCGACCCTGCCCTCACGGCTTATAATCTTTCGACTGACAATATATCCTCGTCGGGTAAAGTTTTGACGCTCGTTTATTGACCAATCGAAAACGTTCTTATATCCAATTTAGTCCTTAAAATGCATTTAATCTTAGGTTAAATATTTTAACCCTGGGTTAACTAACCCTACCGCTAACCCTGCTTTGAACAACACAGTTTTAACCCAGGTTTAGCTAACCTTGGGTTAGAGATTTTAACTTAGGTTTAGCACTAACCCAGGGTTAAATTTAACCTGCTTTTGAACAACTGGCCCCAGATCGCAGCAGTCATTAAAGGGTGCAAAAATTTCGGTTTCATCAGCATGCATAGAGGGAAGGTGTAGTGTGAAAGTAATACCGCTTAAAGCCGTAACAAACGACGGAGCATATAACGTACCTTGTTGAGCCAGAGACAAGTTATGTTGGTGCGATGGAAGTGGAAGGGAGCGCATCCCCCAACTGTTCTAAATGCGTCGCAGAGCGATGGGACGACGTGGACGCAAGGCGGGCCATTGCGCTCTGTAGCCCTAAGAAAAACTCTGGCGACTGAAACTCTGAAAGGTAACGTTCCAGTTGGTGTTGGTCCCCGTGGAAGCTGGGGTAGAAGACTCTCCCAAAGACGCATCAGCCGCGTGTAAATCCACAAGGACGAAGTTTAGGTTCTTTCAATGTAAACCATTTAAAATTTTTGTTAGGCTTGTTACACTTTGCGTGCTGAGTAACTAATGACCGCAAAGGGAGTGAGAACGCAATATAACACGTGGGCTGACTTAGAACACCTCGACAGAAACACCTAACTTCCGGAACACGCGTGCTTTCCTCGCTATTAACTTTGGTTGATGAATAACCTCATTAAACTCGAGCCCGCAAGTCGCTGGTAATTAAGCCAGCAGTTACAGTAATGATTTAATTTCTTTAATATTTCGTAACCATTTCCGAAGTTTTCGACATCCTAATTGTACTTTCTTTAGTCTTTTTTTTATAAACTTGAAAAATTCCCAATTGTTTATTTTGCAATTTAGCTTGTGATTGCCCATGCACACAAACAGTAAATTCTGAAGTTGAAGAGGGTCAGGACAAGAAGATCCTAGTCAGTTGGACAGAACCTAAGCCTAGATGCCCGGCAACACCAAATCCCGCCAATCCGAAACTTATTGGCTTGTTTTCTATTGGTAATTACACGCTGTACTACAATTACACGTACAGCGACAAGTATGGAACATTTGGCATCCAATGTCATGTAAGAATTGCTGTCACAGTTATGCTCTTCACTCTAATAATAATCCCAATTGTTTTACATTACTTAACTAAAACTTGTACTGAATGCTATAGGGTAACCTGTATTCAAATTTCGCATGGTTATAGCTAATTGAAAAAAAGTTGAATTCTATAAACCTCAAACGCTGAAACGTAAAACCCGAAATATAAGCGTGCACTGTGTACAAATGCTAAGCCTTAATTGTGTTGAACAGTGTCGGTATAATAGAGTTCGAATTAAATTTTTCTCTTGGAGACGTGCATTAAAAAACAATACAGACCTACGGGCCTGAGAAACGAAATCAGAAATTTTCGTTATTTTAGTTTCACTTCACTATTAATTCCACTATTCAAAGCATCAGCATAAGCTTGACTTTAAATCTTCCAGCTTATATAACGCTGAGGTTACAAGGATCTTTAAGTAAAAATGGAACAGGACGTGTTGAAGTATTCTTCAATAGACAATGGGGAACAATTTGTGCTCATGGATGGGATTTAAGAGATGCTAGAGTTGTCTGTCGTCAACTTGGTTATAAAGATGCTGTTAGAGCTCCTTACGGAGCTCAGGTTCCTCGTGGTTCTGGACGGATATGGTTAGACGAGGTTGGATGCAAAGGAATGGAACAAAATTTGATAAGTTGTTCTCATAGAGGATGGGGAAAACATGATTGCAGTCATTACGAAGACGCTGGAGTAGAATGTGTTTCAACAGGTAAAGATGCAAAAAATAACAACATGTCAAGGTAGCTCAATGAGCATATATCTAACAGCGTTCGTTAACTTGGACTATAGAGACCTTACGCAAACAGGACGGCACCTTCGTAATGGCGTGTAAGAAATTGCTTTGCTTCCGTTGTTGCTAATCAATGCATATTAATATTTGGCAAAAGCGGAAGCAACACCATTTCTACACGCCATTACGAAGGTGCCGTCCTGTTTGCGTAAGGTTTCTATTATCTTTGCAATAGACCTATTTCATAATGACGTCAAGCAAGGAAAGTCTGCTGTTAGAAGAAGTTTGATTGGCTCGATAGTTTTGTGGAACAAATCAAATTGCGTGTGACAGCAGACTTTCCGCATTTGACGTCTTATACGAAAGGTCTATTGTCTGTGTAACTCTATTATCAGGCTTGTGTACTTTAATGCTGTTAATCACGCAAAGACGAATCAATGTCTATGATTTCTATCAAAAGCAAACATTTGGTATGAACTCTGCCCGAGAAATGAAAACAGAAATTTTCGTGATATTAGTTTCACCATGGTTTCACTTTACTATTAATTCCACTATTCAAAGCATCAGCATAAGCTTCATTTTAAATATTCCAGCTTATAAAACGCTGAGGTTACAAGGATCTTTAAGTAAAAATGGAACAGGACGTGTTGAAGTGTTCTTCAATGGACAATGGGGAACAATCTGTGATAATACATGGGATTTCAAAGATGCTAGAGTTGTTTGTCATCAACTTGGTTATCAAGATGCTGTTAGAGCTCTTCAGGGAGGTCAGGTTCCTCATGGTTCTGGACGGATATGGTTAGACGAGGTTGCATGCACAGGAATGGAGCAAAATTTGACAAGTTGTTCCTATAGAGAATCGAGAGAACATGATTGCAGTCATTACGAAGACGCTGGAGTAGAATGTGTTTCAACAGGTAAAGATACAAAAAATAAACATGTTAATGCTCTCTGACCATATTTCTAAAAAACACGCTGGAGTAGAATGTGTTTCAACAGGTAAAGATACAAAAAATAAACATGTTAATGCTCTCTGACCATATTTCTAAAAAACGGAAATGTTATTTTGTTATTCTCTATTATCATGATTGTGAACTCTTAATGCCGATGATCACGCAAAGTACGAGTTGCACACAAAGTACGCAAAGTTGAGATATTTTATATGAAGTTTGCCTTGAATTAACTACAATTTCTGCTTGCTTATACACCAAAGAATTATTTTTTAATTTTTTTTTTGCAATTTTTGCTGCGATTTTATGTGCTATATTCTTTCTTTGATAGATACAAATGAGTGAATTAGTTACTGATACTCAAATAAGAGTTCTTATACATCAGAGAATTCGTAACTAGTTACTCGTTCATATCTATCGAGAGAGCAAAATATCACAAAAAATCACAGCAAAAATCGCAAGTGTAAACGGGCCTTTAAACGCGTAACATAAACCACGAAATATAAGCGTGCAAAGTATACAAGTGTCAATGGTTTAATTGTGTTGAACAGTGCAGTATAACGGAATCGATCTCGAATTAAATTTTTCACTTTGAGATATGTGTTAAAAGACAATGGAAACCTACGTGCTTGAAAAACGAAATGAGTAATTTTCGTGATATTAGTTTCACTTAATTACTTTACTATTTATTCCACTATTCAAAGCATCCGCATATAACTCACAGAAGCTTTATTTAGTTATTTTAAATATTCCAGCTGATATAACGCTGCGGTTACAAGGATCTTTGAGTAAAAATGGAACAGGACGTGTTGAAGTGTTCTTCAATGGACAGTGGGGAACAATCTGTGATGATGGATGGGATTTCAAAGATGCTAGAGTTGTGTGTCGTCAACTTGGTTATCAAGATGCTGTGAGAGCTCTTCAGGGAGGTCAGGTTCCTCATGGTTCTGGACGGATATTGTTAGACGAGGTTGGATGCAAAGGAATGGAGCAAAATTTGATAAGTTGTTCTCATAAAGGATGGGGGAAACATGATTGCAGTCATTCCGAAGACGCTGGATTAGAATGTATTTCACCAGGTAAAGATACAAAAAATAAACATGTTAATGTGGCTCTCATAGCACATATCTGAAAAACGCAAATTTTTCCCTATTTCTCACTTAAAAGTGTTTTTCTCCTCCTGTCCTGACACATTTTTTTAAAACTTCACCAGTTAAATCTTTGCATTCTTCTTGAATTAGGTGGACGTCTTTACAGCGTTTATATCTGAGGTTCAACAGCGTCCGTTAACTCGAACTTTGCTGTGCGATTGTCTGTGTAACTGTATTATAAGGATTGTCAACTTTAATTACGGTGATCACGCAAAGTACGAGTGAATGACTATGATTTCTTTCGTAATCAAACATTTTGTATGAAGTTTGCCTTGTATTAGCTACAATTTCTGCTTGCTTACAGCAAAGAATAAGTTATCTAATTTTTGGGATAATAGAAAATTTGTTAAATCTTTTCATTGGGAATATAATACCAGTTCTTTAATATTTTTTATTTGCTCTCAAGCAATGTTGCAATTTTGCCTTTAGCGTCTCATCTTTTGTTAACAGAAGAACCCTACTTGAAAAGTTCATGTCGCATAGTGAGTTTCGTTACCACTAATGTGCTCTTAGGAAAGAAAAAATACAGTTATTATGTGGAATGCAATTAAAAACATATCCAACAAAACTTTTTTTGGTAACCCCACATGGTCTATTATCTATATACAACCAGTTCAACGCCTTAACGTAAAGGCCGAAATAGCTACAAACTTGCAAAGTATACAATTACAAGTGTCAAGCTTTAATTGTGTTCAACAGTGTGGGTTTAATGGAACTGGAATTGATTTTTTCACTTGGAGATATACAATGAAAACCAATAGAAACCCAATGGCTTATTTTCCTGATATTAGTTCACTTTACTATTATTTCCACTATTCAAAGCATCAGCATAAGCGAGTTGATTTCGAATGAAATTAAGTTCAATTTGACATTAGGAAGCGCATGGCTGAAAAATAGGATGAAGTCATGAAGATAATTTCCGCCGAGTAGAACCCTTTCCAATAGCAATGCTGCAATGGCATAATAATATTGCAAAACGAGCAGTGATACGATATTTAAAAGCGCCATCTTAAAAAAATACGTTAAAAAAGGCATTACAAATATGGGGTGTATCTCGGGAATTCGTATCGGCGTCATGTAAACTTGTCGAAAATCGTTATCTTCATCCCACTCATGTGAACGGGGCCTTACATGTTTTACAGCCCACCCAGTGAGGACAAACACTTTCCTGAAGCGCGACCCATTTTTATAATGATGTCTAAAAACATACACACACTCCATTAGCAAAATTATGGTTTCCCAGGACGTGTCTGGGGAGTGTCTAACACTTACTCATACAAAAAAACTCTAACAATGCCTGCGTTGCGTAATAATAGAAGACATTTATAGTGTAGATCACACATAATTAATCGCTAATTTTAAGAATTTTTTTTTATCACTGCACATATAATCAAAATGGTATAGTGGAGGTTGGGGGGGGGGGCATTATAAAAAAAGAGGGATTGCGTAATTGTAGGGGGTCTGCAGGATCTCTCACAGATAATTATTTGTATTTTTGAGTCCCTATGCGTTGATTTCCTGCATTTTGGGCCACAGTTACTGATTAACCCATCTGAGAAGAGTGAGGTCTGTTGAGAAAATACCATTTATTACATCACATTTCTTATTTTATCACTGCACAAATTGGTTATCACTGCACACTAACAATAAGTATGAATTTAATGCGAGACATATTTTATTGCAGTATGCATATGTCCTGGGACTGGCGCAATGCCAGTTCATATATTACTGATATACTATGTCATGTGAAAATTCATGTCACAGGTAAATGCTTATTACATTCTTTGGGAATCTGGGAAGTGTTAGCCTTACCGTTAAAAAAAACCCAAAATCTAAGTTTGATTTATTTAATGACTTCGATGAATCTAAGTTTGATTTATTTAATGACCTCGATGCACTTATATCATCATTATATATTGTTACCTTTCAGGAAAGGATTGTGGTCACACGGATTATAATCACATCACTCATGTTTGCTGTTGTGGTGAAGTCCACAGGAAGAAATATGACTTCAAATGCTGTGGCACAGAATACTACAATCCTAATAACAAGAATTGTTGCCGAGGAGCGATCGTTGTCACCTTTGGAGAACTTTGCCCTTAAAATCAATTTAACCTTGCCTTTGTGCAATGTATGTTGTAGTGTTGCAGTAGACTAGCTGGTGATAAGCAAAAATTGCTGCGAAACTCACTAATCTTTTCTCGCCCACATATGATAATTTAGGTAGCTTTTTAGTACATTTTCAGTTGGATTGAAGTGACTGTCGCTTCTTCGTCAGGTATTAGGTTATTTTGTCCTAATTTTTTCATATCATTTACTTTACTTGCGTATCTTTGTATTTTTATGGGGTATTGGGCTCTTGCAATGTTCACGAATCGTAGTTTGCTAATTTGGGTGGCATGTTGATATTTTATTGAGCCGATTACTGTTGACTGTTAACCGTATTTTAATTTGGCGCTTGCAAGAGCTCACGTCATAGTTTAAACCACTGAGCTATATAATAATTCCTGGAGGACCGGTTCGTCATTTTTCGGTAACTTCGCCGCCATCTTTTTGCACAAAAAAACATGGCGGATTTTGCCTTCTGCGCACTGCGCAGAAGTTTTGCTGACGCCATATGGTCCCCTTTGCCCAGGGTAATTACCACTGACCAGGCTCAAATCTGAGCCCGCTACGAGAGATGCTCCCCCCTGGTTTATCTAAACAACAGTATTTCCCCCCTGGTTTTTTATGAATATTTTTTTTGCCGTGAAACATGTTGGAAACCTTGCTGTTTTGTATTTTTCGATTTATTTTTGTGCTACAAAGCGTTGCAATAAGGCGTTTATTTCAGTTCTTTACAATCGTGGACGCTATTTTGCGAATGCCAGAGAAAATATTAATATTAAAACGTAAAAAAAAATTGTGGACGAAGGATTTTTATGTACGATTAGCTGACAGGTTATTTTATTTATTTATTTATTTTCATTATTCATACATTTCTGTATAAAATTTTTGAAAATACTTGAATATTTTTCGAGTCTTGTCAGAAATTTGGATTATCTTTCGGATATCAATCGCCGACTAAAGGTTACCGGCAGAAAATATGTTGTTATGTGATGTTTTCCTTAGAACATCATGCTTATGCATATCAGCCCATAACTCAAGGAAAAAAAGGCCAAACCTCATGCAAGATGCTGGGCAGCTGATTATATAGTAATAGTACTTCACGTCATTTGCATAGGATATTTTCATTCAGGTCATTATAGCTAGCCTAAGTTACCCCTATCTTACTGTATCCCAAGTAATGCATTTTCAAATGATTCCCTGTTTGACTCAAGGATTTGATATGGAATCATATTCCAGATAATGCGAAGAAAGGCTATGGTAAATAACAAAAATTTTATTATAGTACCAACTACCAAGAAGAATATGGTACTAGTTGTGCTATTAAACAAATGTCTCATGAATTCATGAAAATGCAACTGAGCCTATTCATTCCTCCATTATTCTATAATCTATTAACCTTCAATTCCTGATTAGCCCCATGATAATATTCCTTTGAATGGTGGGGAGGGTAAAACTGTCCAGAAGTTGCTGCAAATTGAAAACAAACTGCTCAGTCAATGCATGTCTGTATAAATTTATTTTCCATTTATATAACTATCTTAACTATGACTAACAAAGTCAACATGGTAAAATTAACAGTTTAATGTTCCAGTAATTTGCAAAAAAGCCATCCCCAAATTCAATAGCATCTTCATCCTAAAAAAGAGAGATCAGACCAAGTTTAACTGTACTCAATAGAGTACACCCAGAGGACAGAGCCAGAGGGGAATAAAAACCATTGCAAACTGATTAACAATCAAGCTTGTAGCTTGATCAACAAGGTGCAAGATGCCAAGAAGTCTATTAAGCCATGATTATTGACTTTGCATTTGACAAGGCAAACAAGATAACATACTAGACTTTTAACCAACCACTTTGAAATCTGACAGTAAAATATTTTGTATCAGCACTCACACAGTCATCATGTTTAATGTTTTAAATTCATCTAAAGGATCAATAGAGAGACTAGTAGATTCACTGGGAGGATTGAATATTGATTCATTTTAATTGTTTGGCTGAAAATACTCATGAGTTGGCATTCAATATGAGTGAAAGCTCCAGTGCAAATGCCATAAAGAGTTCTATTCAAAAGCCAAAACTGGCAAAACATAGCCAAAACTCAAAAGATCAGTTATTGATCCTTTTTCATAAAGTATAGTTTTTCATAGCGTAACTAAGTCATGTACTATTGATCAAAAAGGCTGCACTCTGCAGCATATTTGCCGTTTTTAACATTAATTTCAAAAGAAATAAACTGCAACAGACGCTTTGGTAGTTGTCTATATACCAAAGGCGAAAAACGAAAATGTTATGAAAACCGGCTTACCTGAGGTAAAAATTGATATCCCGATAGGTGAATTAGGCCATTCACAGCATCATATGTAGAGCGAGAAATCACTTCTCCATTTAACTTGTTGAACAGGGAAAAAGAGTCTTTTTAGATGAAACGCGGAGAAAATATATGCCGAAAACAATACCGAAAACCAAAAATATTTTCATAAAAATCGGGAGGGTGATGGACACGTTTTTGACTTTGTATCGCGGTATGTCAGTGGTAATTACCATGGGCAAAGGGGACCATGTGGCGTCAGCAAAGCTGAAAATCCGCCATCTTTTTCGTTACACTTTTTGGTGGCGAGCCGGTCCTCCAGGAATTATTATATAGCTCAGTGGTTTAAACGCACTTTAGCCAGGTTTTCCCATGTAGTCATCAACCAGGCCTGGACCTGACCTCGAGCACGATTTTTGTAATGTGAATGGGCTTTACCTAGTCTTTATCTAGTTTAATCTATTTTCAACTTAATAGTATGGGTAGTGTTCCGTGTATTTAGTCAATTATGTTGCCTATTAGATATCGCGAATGTATAGCACATAATATTACCTAGACTTGTCCAAGACCTGGTCCAGGCCAGATCTAGGCTTCTAGTGTAAACGTGGCTATTGTCACATGTCCAGGGCCTGGTTCAGTAAAGCTCGTAGTGATAACAAGGTTTGAGTGAAAGTTCACACTTACACTTACATAATAACCAGTTGTTGTGTAAACAATTGAATTAGACAATGATAATTGACCAACGTCATCTGGTGTTTTAAATGCGATTTATAAAATATGCTTTGAGCGAACATCGATAATATCCTTTGTAGGAACATTACAATCGTCATTCGACGAACTTATAAGTTCGGGTATTTCGAAAGAGGACGCTTAGAAAATTTACACCGTGATCTTTGCTTAGCTGTGTGTGCTAATTTGCCTCATATTGCCAGTTTATGTATTGGCTTGCAAATTTGCACTAATTAGCATCGCATTGTAACTCTTGATTTTAAGGTTAAGTCACCACTGCAGTTAGTTTAAGTTTTCGTTTGAAAGATGTATAATACCTTTAAATATAAATATATGTGTATTTAAAAAGTTTAATTGCATTCATATTTAAGCCTATAGTCCTTATATTTCAGAGACAGTTGATGATGTAGCTATTGTTCGTGGCCGGAGACAAAGAAATTCATTTAAGATAGTGAGTTTTGTTCCTGCTTAATTAAAGTCTCTAGGAAGCATTGAAAATTGAAAAAAAATCCTATGTAACAGCTGCAATTTCACGAAGCTAAGCTTGGAGTCCATATTGTGGAAGGCACTTTTGTTAAGACCTACTTTTGAGATTTTCTAAATACCTATTCACTATTTTTGCTAAATCTCATGATGCTGTGCGCGCACATTCCTTAGGGTACTAAATCCCGCCAAAATCAAAACGTCGCAATTTTGATTATTTTTGTACCCCAAGATATGCACGCGCACAGCATCATGGGATTTAGTCAAAATAGTGTATACGGCGATTCTTACATATAGTTTCCCCCAAAAATTTTTTCGGAATTAATTCAGAATTATTTTGTGATCCATATAGACGAACTGTTAATTCGAATTGTGAATCTTATTGTAGTAAAACGGTGATAATTTTTGTCCGAAAGTAATTGGCGTTTTATGTTTATAGCTTATCGGACTTTTACTGTTGCACCAATCTTAATAATAGTGTCGGTTCACCTCCTGAAGAAGATATTTACCCAAAAAAAACTAAGAAAATTAAACTAAAAAAATCATATTTTACTCATTAATATATATTTCGGAAGATATCATAGTTTGAATAATTAAGCTTTTTTTTACCGTAGCAATAATAATGGCACATACCACCATCTTTGATATTCATGTATGTCTTTGGTTATGCATGATGTCACAAGCGGAGTAAATTTATAATTTTATTGAGCGCTTCTCATGCCTAGTGGATGATGTTAAATACTAATTCATCGATCATGTCTTAAATTCACTCATATGCTTGCTACACAGGAGCATCCACTTGTAATAAAAAGTTTTTCTCTGGTTGTGACGTCATTTAATTAGATTAATAATAAAACAAGATGGCGGACAGCTCATTATAAATAATAAGACATGTGCTAAAATGCGACTGGGTAACAAAATAAAACAAGAAATGACTGATCAAATTCGTTAAAATTATATGTGACGTCATTCCGTGCGTGTGTCCTCTTAAGATCATGGCTCTCGACCAATGAAATTGCTTGAATTCTTTGACGTTGTTATATAACACAAAATAAACACATTGAAGTTCTTATTCAATGTATCATTTGAAGTTTTTTACTTACTGTGTGAAAATTCATCTATTATTTTGCGGGGGAGGCTAAGCGCAATTAATTTCTTGGGGTATAGCATCCGGAGGCGTCAGGTTCCACCACTGTTTGCCATGCATACTGAGCTGGGTTCTTTTACTTTTTCCCTTTTAAACGGTTTTTCATCGCTTTTCAATCAACGTTATGGTTGGTAGTTGGGAAACCTGAATATTATGAACATTGGCTTATTTTGGTAAATAATTCTTAGTAGAATACTGGTACTGGACTCAGTTATTTGACTGTTATAGACTTATAGTTTATTTTATAAATATTAATTTAAAACCATCTACGAGTGTTTTTTTTCTAGTCAAGTTATATAAAATAATCGCTACACAATCTTTTTCCAG